CAGAAAAAGATTAGAAAAAGGAAGGTCAACGGGAAGCTATTACTGTAAGCCACAGAAGAAAGAAGGCCCAGACTATGGTAACAGCAGGAACGGAGAGAAATGGAGAGAAATGGATGTGGATTACTTTTTTGCTTCAGGCACCTCTATCAAGAAAATTCAGATTGCATGGGATGAAACAAATACTGGTATTCTGTGTAAAAGGGGCATTTAATAAATTTAATCAATGAATTAATGAAAACCAAAATTCAGTATGAATGAGAAGATTAGAGAGAATTCCTAACTGTTCCAAGCAAACCTTCAACAAGGTATGCAGCTCCAGATGAAATTTCCATGCAGCTGCTCACAACTGTCCAGAAACTATGGTGAGCAGGAGAGGTTGCTATAAGACTAAAGACAGGATAGGCAGTATTGCTATTCAAAAAAAGGAGGGGGTGCCCGGGTGGCTCAGTCAGTTAAGCATCTGACTCTTCATCTCAGCTCAGGTCTTGATCTCAGGGTCATGGGTTTGAGCCCTGCTTTTGGCTCTACACTGGGTGTGGCGCCTACTTAAGGAAAAAAAAAGAAAGAAAGAAAGAAAGGAGAAAGGTGATCCTATCAACTTTCTTGAAGTTAAACGTAACTCTAGCCAGGATTCTAGAATCATTACAGAGACAAGTTTGTGAACATAGGAAAGGTAGTAACCAACATACACTGTATACTGTCCAGTGTAGTGTTAATTAAGGACAAATAATGACAGATTACTGCTCTTTTCCTGACAGTTACTGAACTGATAGGATTTTTTAATTAAGTATATAAAATTATTTGGTAGGATTTTTTAAAAATGAAGTACATAAAATTATCTGGGTTTTAGGAAGAATTGAAATTGTTAGTTTCTTATATACTTCTTGTGAAAACCTGGAAATATTTGAGGTGAATAATGCTAAATTAGTTGGATTTCCAACTGTCTGAACAACTTGAGCCAAAGAATTACTGAGTTGTTTTTTTTTTATCAATCTTAACAGAGGTCTCTAGCAGAGCAAACCTCTGTTCTTAGCCCTGCCTAGTCAACATTTTAATAAGATTTGCATGAAAGCAATGTCAGCATTATCAAACGTACAGTTTATCAAATCTATGGATATATAAATAAGCCCATAATTATCATATGACCAAATCAGTTTTTTTTTTAAGTCAACAGAATGGACCCAATCTGACAAGATAAAATTTAATTTGGATAAATATAAAGTCCTACCCCCCAAAAAATTCTATTAAAGAATTGGGAGAACATAGACAAAACAACTCAAGAATTTTAGTTGACTACAAAATCAATAATAATGGGTAATGTATACAGCACTTAAATGCCAGGGGCCATTCTAAATGCTTTACGTAATATGTGTTCAATCTATTCCTTTTAACAATCCTATGAGACAGGTACTATTATAAACCCCATTTTACAGATGAGAAAACTGTGGCCCAAAAAATGTTTACATAATTTACTCAAGGTTACCCAGCTGATAAGCTGTAGAGTTAGGATTTAAACTCAGGCAGGCTAGCTCCAGAGTTTGTCTTCTTAGCAAGGACATTATTATGAATTAACAGTGCAATGTGGTTGCCAAAGAAGCAAATCTACTCTTAATCTTAAAGTACATGTTTTAAAATCAGAGAAGTAACTTATGGTCTTCTCTACTGGTTAATATCTGTGGGTACCACACTTTTAAGAAGAGTATGGATGAACTGAAAAAACCCACAAATAAGCCATCAGTAATGTAAGGAGCCTCAAATCAAAACAATGAAATCATTGGAAGAGGTTAAGACAGAATATTTTGTCTCAAGAAGAAAGAATTTGGAATATAATAAGTATCTTCAAATATTTGAAAACCCACTTATGGAAGAGACAGAACTAGAACCAGTGAGGATGGAATTTCTGGTTCAGTAAAGGAAACCATATACCCAAATACCGTATGTCCAAATACCTATGCCTCAGAAACTAGATAACTATGAATCTTCTCTCCAGAAAAATACACAAATACATATAATTCTGTATCCTGTTCCAAGAGTTCACAATCCATTCATGCCCCACTCCTACAGTAAGATGTCTCAGATCAAAATGGAAAGGATTCAAGTATGAAAAGGCAAGTATATATAATAATCTTTAAAATTCATTACAACTTATAATTCTATGATCTAAAAAACTCAACTCTATGCTTTCTAGTTTCTTCTGAGAGCCATTATGATACATTTTGCAATAAGAGTCAAAATATGATGACAGGGCGCCTGGGTGGCTCAGATGGTTAAGCGTCTGCCATCGGCTCAGGTCATGATCCCAGGGTCCTGGGATCGAGTCCCGCATCGGGCTCCCTGCTCAGCGGGGAGCCTGCTTCTCCCTCTGCCTCTCTCTCTCTCTCTGTCTCTTACGAATAAATAAATAAATAAAAAATCTTAAAAAAAAAAAATGATGACAAAGTCAGAAAAAAAGTGAAGTAAAATTTGCCAAGTGACAATGTAAACTGGAGTAAATTCTTAGATAGTATGGCTTATCATTTAACCTCCAAAAGAAACATATTTAAGTTTAAATATTAAAAAATAAGATGCTAATATGCTACTCAACATCTAGTATAATGCCCAAATTAGAAATTTCCCTGCTCTGCTAAAAACTTCATTTTAAACCCTCCCTTTTTATCCTTTGTTCTGGGTTAACTGTTGAGATCTACAGACAAGGAAACAATAGACTAGAAGTCAGAATGCGTAGGTTCTCATTCACTACCTTTGCCATGAATTTAATTTTAGTCTTAGTCTGTTTCCTCACCGTGTTCTAAAAACTTTCAAATATCTAAAAGGGCTTTAAAAAGCTGTGGTGCAATGTAAAGATCATGCATTTTCTTTTTTTTTTTTTTAAAGATTTTATTTATTTATTTGAGAGAGAGAGAGACATAGCAGGCGGAGTAGGAGAGGGAGAAGCAGGCTTCCCCACGGAGCAGGGAGCCCGATGTGGGGCTCGATCCCAGGACCCTGGGATCACGACCTGAGCCAAAGGCAGACGCTTAACGACTGAGCCACCCAGGCGCCCCAAGATCATGCATTTTCTATAAAACATAAATTATCAACAGCAAGAAAACAAAGCCAGTCTTTTTATCATGTTTAAAAAAAAAAAAAAAGCAAATGTACATTCACATTTCAATTCCTAATTATAAAAAAACAATCCTTGAATCTTTTAGGGTATCTTTTAGTGTTTAATTTTCATCCACAAATGCTTCTCACATTAAGGATAAACATCTGTACATCCAATTTCAAGTTGTATTGAGAACACACAGCTCAGACAGTTAAGATTTTTGGCTGCAAGGGAAAAACTTGAAAGTGCCAGTCAGGCTACACATTTAAAAAGAGTTGGGGAGAAAGTTACGTGATCACAGAATGGTAATATGAAGCATTACACACTTGAAAATTCCGCTTTCCCTCTTAAACAACTGGGAATAAAGAGAACTCAAAAGTACGTTTAATAGGTGTTGGGCCTTTATTAAATATAGGTGCCACACTGCTGAAACTGCAACTGTACAGCCAGAACAGAGCTACAGACACCATGACTGCCAGTGGACTAGACTCTAGTTCCAGGCACAAGATGTTCTAATAAATAACAAAAGCATCCAGAGCCAGTACACAGGGTGAGAGAATCCCGGGTCTAGACATTTGATTTTTCTCCTGCTGTTACTTGAGAATGGGCACCACTATTAAAGATTTATTATAGTAATAGGATAGTGATAAAGCTTTAGCTAAATTATAGGCAAAACAAGGAAATGGAAAAGCATCATGCAATGTCCGATCAACGAAATTATTTTATATTTAATTTTGAACACAGACTGGGTCAGGATTACATTGTAAAGAGGACAGATGAGTAACTTTATTTATTAGGTGAAGATAATTTCAAACCATTAAGAGAAAAGAAGAGTGGCCCAGAAAAAAATCAGGCTACAGAAGTCAAATGAAAATACACAAAACTAAGATTTAGGGGAGAGAGGCAAAGGAAGAGAATGAGTTACTGACTTACTAAAAAGAGAGCAAATAAGTGGGACAGGGAGTCTGAGCCCTCTGAGATAGAATGAGGAAGAGAAACGTATCAAAGGCTCAAAGGGAGCTTCAGCAGTAAATATGAAAAGGGATGAGCCTGTTAACTGCTTCAACAGAAAAAGAGAAACAACAATACGGGGCACTTTTCTGAACCGGCATTCACGGTAGACCATAATAAAAATGCCTAACTCATGCAGAGCACTTAATATGTGGTGAGCTCGGTTCCAAATGCGTTCCACAGACTGGTCCATTTACTCCTCGAAACACCTGGAATAGGCAGTCACTACTATTTTACATATGAAGGAACAGACTACACAATGCAAGATAACACAAACTGGTAACCAGAGACTGAGCGCTCATCCACTTAGTTAAACTACGTCTCGGAGAGATCCTACAAAACCTTTATACTTCTCTGTGGAGAGGGATCTTAGCTCTCTGGAATTTCTCAAAGGTGTATGGGCCCCACAAGCGATCCTCTACTTTAGAGAAAAGTTCCCTTTTGCGGGATATGAGGTTCTTTCAAGCGCAGAAAGCTTTGCAACTCTGAGATACACCTGGTAGAGGCAGATGGAGGCGTGTGAGCCATGAAAGGCGGAAAAGTCAGAAAACCAGACTTAGAAGCCATCGTTCTGCCCTGAAGACCTGAAGAGACCGAGAAAGTAGAAAGCAGCCCTTCCTCTCTTCCACGAGGCGTGACACGGGGACGCTACCTCCTCCCAATCTGCTGTGTGCGTCTGGGGCGGGGGAGGGGGGCTCTCGGGTTTCCGACTCCCCCGCGCCCCGGCCCCCCGACACTCAGGGGTTACTCGGCCAGGCCTGGGAGAACGCGTGGGAACAAACAGATGGGACTCGCCGTAACGAGGGGGCCCCGAGGCGCAGGGAGGGAAACCTGCCCGGGAACACGAGGGGCCGGGTCCAGAGGCCCTCGGCGCGCGGGCCCGCGCCCTCGCCCCGGACCTTACCGCCGCTCCGCTGCAGAGGACGAGGCGGCCACTCAGGGCTGTTCTTCCGAGCCTGGGGCGCGGCTTTGGCGCCGCCGCTCCTGTGGCGCCCGCGCTTGGCGGCGGCCGGGTCCCGGCGGACTCACACTGGGGGAAGGGGTGGGCGATGCGCGGCCTGCCCAGCGGAGGCCCTGGAGTTCGAGGCCCTGGGACGCCGACCGTGCATGCGCCCGCAAGCCTGCCCGAAAAGGGTCAGAGCGCGCCCGCGTGCCGAGAAGCAGCGGCGGCTGCAGCCCAGATTACAGGCTGCTCCGTCCGCCCTCACCCAACCCAGCCTCTGCCCCGCTTCCCCCGCGCAAGCTTTGGCGGCGGAGCAGCACGGTGAGCTCCGATTGGCTCTCTGGATGAGTGACGTAAGGCGCCGCTCCCCACGGATTGGCCAGGTCGGCGGTGCGTGCAAGGAGTAAACAAACCCCGCCCCCAGGCTCCCCAGAGAGAGGAGGGGGCGGCGAGGTGAAGGGGCGGGACCTCAAGCGCTCAGCCCTGGTCTCCAGTTGCTCCCCGGAGCTTCCCAATGGGTACCCTGCGGTGATCTCAACACTCTGCTCTCCAGCCGCCTGCGGTGCGGGCTGCAGGCCTGAGGCCTAAAATTATAGACACGCCCATTCCTCCCCATCCCTTCCCCTAGGCTTGGATCAGAATCTTGACTTTTCCATCCAACCCCATCCCCCAGGCCCGAAGCAGGAAAACCCCATCTCTGTTGGAAAAAAAGGAACTAAGGCGGTTATTTCTGGGTCCCCAGGCCTTTGATGGCTGCCCCCCCTCCCCGGGAGCAGCGAGGAGGAGGGTGGGGACAAGTGACTTTGAGGCCACGTGTGAGGCACCCCGTAATTAATTATTCAGACAATGGGTTACAGACCACTGGGGATGTGGGTTCTTCAATACCCAGGCAAACAGGATCCAAACCAGACCAGGTCACCATGTCATTTGGAAGCTGAAGAGAAAATTGCGGCCCACACCCCCAAATACATGTCCGTTTTGTTCAAAATTAAAACATTTTGTCAGTGCCTATGTGAAAAATCACGTATGAGCTTACATTCTAGGGGACGGGAAAGAAAATATGCAAAAGAAATAAGCAAAATGTAAACTATCACATGATAGGTGCTGGGGGAGGGGAATAAGCAGAAAATGGTGTTTGAGGCATGGCTTGTATTAAATAGGGTGCTCTGGGAAGGCGGCAGAAAAGATGCCATTTAAGGAAATATCTAAAGGAGGTGAGGGAAGTGAGAGAGCACCTTTGGACATTTCTCCGGGGTGGGGTGGAGAGACAATTTCTGCATAATTGTACATAGATAAACTCCTAGGAGTTCAAGAATGCCAAGTGCAGTACTCTTTGGACTGATTCTAAAATGCAAAAGCCCCACTGGAGTGATTACCATGTATTTTCCAGTAACAAATCAATAGTATTTCTTAAGTTTCCACCAGAAATTTTGTTAAGGTTTCAAGTTAACAAGTTTTTTCAAACACTCTAGGTACAACGAAACAAAAATGGGCAAGACAGAAAAAACCTCCACCCACAAGAAACTCAGTCTAGCAGGAGAAATGGATTGTAAACTATTTCAGTACAATGTGTAAACAACCATGGTAGACACACAGAGCACTTGGACTAATGGGGGTAAGATGGGTGGATGTTATTAAGGAGCTGTAACTCTCAGGATCTCCTTATCTGTAACAAAAACTCAGTGCTTAATTTTGGAGGAGGGCTTTGGCTGTCAGTGAAACCTTTCTAATAAGTTTCTAAGATGAGAGTCTGAAGACAAAATTAAGTTGAACCATATGAATTGCTAATATTTGGCAATATTCAAGTGGTTCAACTTACCCTCTTGTAGTTAATACGAGGATTTTGCTCTGTAATATACATATAGTAAGTGTTCAATAAATGATGGCAATTTTGATCATTAGATAATACTGTTTTTGAAAAAATTGATTTAAAAGTCAATGTTTCATAACACCTTCCAACACCACGAAGTAAAATGGGCAGTGAAAGTTTCAAATTTTCCATATACTGGTTCGATCTAGCTGTGAATTTCCATGACCTAATCAGGGTATGCTGTAAAAGACACTAAATGCTAGTTTCACAGCAGGCCAAGAAATTCAGAATAAGGAACAGCTTGGGTTTGAAGCCAAAAACTGAAAATTCTCCAGAACAGAATAAATTGTCAAGTTGCTTCAGGGAGGAAAATTCATGTAAATCAATTTTTCGTTCCCACTCACAGTTCCAATTTAGCAATTTGCACAACACTCAGCTCTCTTCCTTCTCATTTGCCCATTAAGGGATCTTATTTCCTTTGAAAAGGAAAATAAAGCTTCCACTATCTCCCATGCCAGAGAGTAGATGTCTGAAATATGACAGAACACACACTGATTGGGCAAACACTTATTAAGTACTTATTGTATGCCAAGAACAGCGCAAGTCATGGGATATACACATATAAATGCCCAAAGAGCTCCATTCATGGGTATTCCTTGTGCTTGGAATAACCCCCCAGTTCACCTACATCTCACCTACATGCGCCTTCTCATCTAAGCTGAGATTATTTTCTTCTGTAAAGCTTCCTCTGACTCCCCATCTCCAGCTCTTTGCCCATCAAACCGCGTCTTTTAAACAGATCCTAATTACTCATTTAGTATCTGTATCTTGTAAACTCCTTGATATTCTGAGCCATGCCATCCTATTCACCACCCTGTCCTCAGTGCTTAGAGAAGCTCAGTAAGTTTTTATTGAATGGCACTCTCATCCACAGCCCAGCACAGCTAGAAAGAGGAAAGAAGCATAAATAAATAAAGTCTCTACTTATAAATATGTGGGCCACCAAAGAGAGGGCCACGGAAGACACCGATCCATTACAGTTAGACCCGAGGAACTTGCATGTGCTGCCCTCTCTCCTGGTGCTGAAGGCTGCTTTCTGTAGGCGCAGCTAGAGGACTTCTGAACTAGTGCCTCTCAAGCTTTCCTGTGCACAGGAATTACTTTGAGATCTCATTAAAATTCAGACTCCGAATCAGTAGGTCTGAGGTGGGATGTAGAGGCTGCATTTCCAATCAGCTCCCACCTGGTGCTGCCACACCACACTTGTGAGTAACAGGTTCTTAATGACACCTTTTTATTATACAAAAAGATCCGCAGTTGTCTGGACAATTGCAGATATGGACTTTATTTTTAAACAGCATCCTGTTTTCACACCTAATCCATCCAGTGACTTGACAAAAGAAATGACACTTAATACAAAAATGTGTTAAATGGAGGCCTTGTCTTCCAGAGACTGGCCTCTACGCCTTGGAATTTCCTCAGCGAGGGACACAACCTTCTCCTGAGTTCGTTTCTGGAATGATTTAGCTGGTTAGGCCAGGGGAAGGATTTCACAGTCACCCTTAATAAAACTAAGCTCTTCCTAATATCAAACCTAAAATCTTTTAATGATATTCTATTCATTCTAAAAATATAAATGTGAAGTATAAGGAATAATGATAGGGGCACCTGGGTGGCTCAGTCGTTAAGCATCTGCCTTCGGCTCAGGTCATGATCCCAGGGTCCTGGGATCGAGCCCTGCATCGGGCTCCCCGCTCCGCGGGAATCCCGCTTCTCCCTCTCCCACTCCCCCTGCTTGTGTTCCCTCTCTTGCTGTGTTTCTCTGTCAAATAAGTAAATAAAATCTTTAAAAAAAAAAAAAAGGAATAATGATAAATCCTCATGTACCAGCTTAAGAAATAGACTATTAACATCACTGGAGCTCTGTGTGTGCCTCCCCAATGTGACCCCCTACTTTTCCCTCCCCATAATAACCCTATCCTGAATTACAATCTTCTTGGTTTTCTTGACAATTGTAACAGCTATGTATTTAACTCCAAGCAATATATTGTTTAGTTTTGCATGTTGTTGAACTACATATATCTGGGGTCAAACTTTATTACTCATCTGTAAATTATTATTATTGTTGGCTCATTTTGTTTGAGTCATCTGTCTCGATGTAATTCATTTTCACTGATGTAAAAAATAACAAAATTTATATAATCCATTCTCTTACTGATAGATATTTGGGGTTTTTTCTATTCTACTGTTATGAATTTACTTGTACACCTCTCCTTTGTAGATGTGAAAGTTTTCATAGGGTTTTAGTTACGTACCGGGGTGAGAGTCAAAATATTTAACGACTGGTAATACACAAATCTTTGCTTGTTCTCCTTCCCCACTCCCCCCTCTGAGACAAATTCTTCTGCACAGGTGTTTTATTTTGGTAAATGATTCCAAGGAACAGGAGTAGAGGCTGGGAAGCTTGAAACATGAAGGAGGAAAAGCCAATCCAAGCTAGTTTCTGAGATGATCACCTGCTCGAGGCCACTGAGGCTTGATGGAGCAGGAGACTGCAAGTTGCTGTGAAGAACACACTTCAGAATTGTCCACGTAAGGAACTGAAGAGGAGCATGTTTATACACTGGCTCTCTTCCCCACTGTTTAAAAGTGTTAGGTCTCTAGCACCTCCTGGTTTGATCATGGGTGACAATGACAGACTGGATTCGAATCAGTTCCAAGCTGGGAGGCAGAGAAATCCCAGCCCAGAAAACAGGAGTTATGGTGATGCAAGATGCTGCCAGGTTATACCTGGGCAGGTGATTGCTGCAACAACTGGGATAAAAAGGTGGGCCACGAGGATGTGAAGTGGACCAAAAAATGACCAAAACTGATATAAATAAGCAAATAAATAATAAATGGAGGATAAGAGACAGCTCTTCCTTATGGTAGAATTCCAATGAATAAATGTAAAGAAATACTGTAAATAGAAAATCACCATTATTAGGCAAATAGTACAGGAATGATGGTTGCCAGAAAGAACTAACCACAGATGCTCAAACTAGTGAGTGAAAGTGTGATGGGAAACAGGATATTTACATTGGTCTAAAACTATCTCCTCACAATGTGCTTATTAGTTACAAATGGGCAAATAGTAACCTTATGGTGGAAAAATTTGACAGGTACCACCTTAATCAAATGATCAAGGTTAACATCATCAAGAAGAAGACATACTGATGTGTCTTCCTGATAGAATGCACTGAGAAGGCCACATCACTTCTGCAGCATTGTAACAAAAATTCAGAACCTTAACCTAATCACAAGAAAATACCAGACCATCCCAAATTGAGGGACATTCTATAAAGTAACTGCCAGTACTCTTTAAAAATGTCAAGAAAAGGGGCGCCTGGGTGGCTCAGTCGTTAAGCATCTGCCTTCGGCTTAGGTCATGATCCCAGGGTCCTGGGAT